TTTATCGCCTTATACGAAATAGGATGAACATAACTCATATTAATTAGATAAGCACGATTAAGTTTCGGAAACAATTTACTTCACTCTAATTTGTTTTGATTGTAGCTTTCTCTTTTTCGGAATGCATATGTCAAACAAATTTCATACTTTATACATTTGAGATGTATCCATCCTATTCCATTTGAGGTGATAAAAGACTGCTAGTTGAATTTTTCCATAAGGTTAACAGCATGCCCTAAGTTTCCAAATAACTTCACATAGTTTGCTACCCAGAGGGTATTCTCAGCCAGACATAAGTGGAATGCAGTTTTGATCTCACCAGGGTCTCATCAGCACCCCTATCAGGACTCGAAACCTGGTAACTTAGTGTATAATATCGACGCGTTAACCCCTACACCACACTCATACAGGTGCCTTTGGTTGACAGAGCACAATTATACTTCAATTAAGCCTAGGCCCATATCAAATTCTGTGGTACGATTGTCGATGAAGCAAAGTTGCATTTGGTATATCAACCGATTACATTACTTATTTTACGTTTTATAAGTAGGTTTCGAGACTACTCGTAGATCATATATATGAGATTTATTCATCCTATTTACACCTATATATATACTAATAGTCTCGAAAACCTACTTATAAACGAGAAACCATAGATGTATTTGATTGCTATAGCAAATACAGCTTTGCTTCGTCGGCAATTTCACCACAGAATATGATATTGAAAAATGCCTGGCATTTCCTGAAATTCACATCTCTTCAGTGAGCCATTGACATTCGTGGGAATGTGGCGTAGTAGTTAACGTGTCATGATTAGACGCTGCAGTTTCCTCGTCCGAGTCTCGCTGGGGATGCTGATAAGACCAAGGCGAAGTCAAACTGCAATCCACTTTTGTTAGGAAGCTATGTGAAATTCAATGTAGACTTAAGTCCCACTCATATGCTTGTGAGAAATTTCAACTTCCAGTTCTTCGTCACAGCCGAAATAGGGTGAATGTGTTTCATATATATTATCAAGTGGCGATCTTGAAAGCCTACTCATAAAGAAATAATTTTCATAATTGTATTTTGCAGTATATAATTTAGTATTTATGCAGGCTATTATACTTAAACTACTCAAGTTATTAAATAAGTAATGCAAGTTACCAAACTACAGGTTAGTATAGTTATAGCTATGATGCCACAAAATGCTAAAATATACATTATTCATCTTTTTTATGGATATTACCTTATATAAAGCAATACGAGTTGTTTTCTTTAAACAGCCTACTTAACAGCGAAGCAGGTATTTTAGCTATGACTTGATAACAGATGAATTGTACTTTTATGATAATTTTCAAGCTTTCCTACACTAATGCAGGCCTTTATAAAGTTTTATTATACTTTTAAACAATGGGTTGTTTCATAATTATGAATAGATCTTTACTCTTTATTATCACTGTTCGATAGATTATCGCTGCGGAGGGTGAACAAAAAGCTTCGTTTGCTTTGAAGGAAGCCGCAGATGTTATCAATGAGTCACCTTTTGCTGTGCAACTTCGGTATCTACAGACACTGAGCACCATCTCTGCCGAAAAAAATTCGACCATCATCTTCCCACTGCCTGTTGACCTGGTTGCTCATTTTATGCGTCGAGGCCCTCCTTGCCCAGCTACATCGCGTACTCCCGCGCCTGTGGCACTTCATACCACTCCTGAGATGAGACCCCGACATCAGGCAAGTGCTCCTGAAGTACACCGATCTCAACGCAATCCTAACAATGAAGAAAGAGCTAAAACCGGTGGAAGTCTTGGCGGCCATGGCATTTGCAGAGAATCTATGGCAAACGGTACAAATGGGACATGTAGCAACAGTAGTGTAGCCAGCATG